TAGATAGTTTAAGACCCTCTATTCATAAAGAAAGTGATCATGATCCTTTTTTTTCACAAACACAAAACATGACCAAAAGGATCAAAATAAACTGACCTAACGGATTAAATTTTTTTAACCCTTCGAATTAACAAATGGGCGAACTATGTTAATCATTCTCCTTAATTCCTCCATCTTAATCCTTTGCCAAATGGGACTATTGTACTTTTGTGGAGTTTATGCTTCGAAACCAAACTCCGTTAAACCCAAGCTACTCTGGACTGCACATGATGTAAAATTAGAAAATTAGCCTTCATTAAAATCATCCATTACCTCAAAACCTTACTTTTGCTGTTTAGTTCACCCTATCTCTTCTTCTCCCTTCAATATTAAGATTTCCTAATAGTAAATTGAATGACTCTAAATTAGGGGTGCATTCGGTTCGGATACGGACTGAATATGATCCTTATCATATCCATATCTTCTTATCCATCACGATTACGGATACAGTTATAGATATATATTGGTTAGAAAAATTTATATCCATATCCGTTAAAATTAGATACGGATACGGATATGCATGCAGATATTTAAGAAGATATGCATGTGAATAACAAACAGATATGAGAAAACTAGATAATTTTGGAAAAAAATTAGCTCATGTAGTACAAGAGATTCATTAATATGTTCGCTATATATGAAAACTAAGATTGAACATCTTGATTATCAAATCAACCTCAAATTCATAATATAAGGATTAAGACTGTTGTAATAGTATTGTCAACATATATTCAGATATTTCGAATGCACTTCCGGATATTTCACTATAAAACCATATATATGTAACTATATTATATTTGTTATAGATTCGAGTAATCACGTCCATATCCTAACGGATACAGTTACATATATTTCCGTAGTTAAGAATACAGTTTAACATCCCTACTCTAAATATAAAAAAGTTGTGACATATGGTAGAATTTGTCCTTTATGGTAAGTGAAACCCTAACCCATCCAAAGAGGATTTTGGGTGTTACAAAAAATACCAAAACTCAGTTGATAAATGACTAACTAACATATAAATCATCATTAATGTTAATTATACGAGTAACATTGTTCAACTAAGGGGGGGTTATTGGTTGGGACAAATTGGGACCAAGTGGGAAAAGTGTTCCAATTGAATAATTTTACCCCTTTGGGATATTTTGAGTGGGGTAAAGTGGGATAAAGTGGGATAATGGGATAATTTTAACATTTGATTGACAATTCATGTGGGATAATTGATGATGTGACACCTTATTAAAATATAATTTTATCTATTAATTAATTCTAAATTAACTTATCCGATTGATTTAGTATATTATTTAGTATATTATTATAATATAAATATTATTTTACTTTATATTAAAATATAACATATTGTACTATACTTACAAATTACTATTATTAATTATTATATTGTATTGTATTATATTATATTAGCATGCTATACTATATATAATAATTAATATAATATAATATCAATAAATTTAATATAATATTTAAATAATATAATATTTAATATAATACATTATTTTATTTATACAAAAATATAATATGTTATACAATAATTACTAATTAACATTAGATTAGTATATTACATTATATAATAATTGATATAATATATGAATAATATATATAATATAATACTTTAATAATATATTATTTAATTTAATATATTATAATATAGTATCATAGGATATAATGTACTTTATAAAATATTATAATATTTTACTTTATTCAATGTAATATTTTTTAAAATTTTATATTAAAATTAAAATATAATATAACATATATATATTACATGATAATTACAATAATATATATTAAAAGGTATCATGTTATAGTATAATATATTACATAATAGTATTAATATATATTATTAAAATATTAATATATGTTATTATATAATATTATTAAAATGTTAATATATGTTATATTTTATATTTTATGAGTGGTGTTAGGGGCACACCCCAAACCACACTCCCTCTCCCATTCGCTACAGTACTCCGGGCCCCACATGAGTTTTTAAAATTTAAAAACTCATGTGAGGCCCGGAGTACTGTAGCGAATAGGAGAGGGGGTGTGGTTGGAGGTGTGGTTTAAGGTGTGCCCTTATCATTTCTTATTTTATATATCATGTCGTATATTTATAATATAATTAGCATGTATTAGTTCAGTAATACAAAAATATTTTAAAATTATCCCAATTGCCTTCAAAGTGGAACAATATTATTCTAATATGATGGATGGGGTAAATTTTTACTATTAGAACAAAATTTTTGTATATGAGTGGGGTAATTTTATCCCAAAATGCACGGGACTAGCAGTCCCGTGCATTTCCTGCACATTCACAACTATGCATGCATTTCTGCTACGGGATAATTCCCTGTACAAACGCATATTTCAAACGCAACAATCATAAATTACACCATTGCATAAACACATATATCAATTCTCTGTACAAACTCATATGTCAATTTCCTGTATAAACACATATCAAATCTAAAAATCATAAAATACACCACAAACTTACGAATCCAAATCCAACAAATCACGCCACAAACCCACTTACAAATCTAATAAGTCACACCACAATCTCAGCTACAAATCCAAAAACCATCTATTGTCCCGAAATACGTTTGTAATGTACATATCAAAATAGGATTGTAATTTATATAACAATACCAATTAGCTTACATACATCCAAGAACTCTTCTCCTCCTCCTTTGTCTTCGGCCTCCTCTATCCCGACCTTCGATGAGTTCATGATCCGGTTGCGTTTGTGGTTGTGACGGTCCAGCTCCGTCGTCAACACGTTGGGAAGGCCCAGCTTCATTGTCGTTTCTGCGTCGTCCTCGTCTGTGTCGTTGTTGACGTGTGTATACTAATTGAGGTACTTCTCGTCCATCATGAAGGTCTTCATGAGTTCGATGTAAGGCTTGGTGAAGCCTCTGCATTATCGACTGATATATTGATGCATGTTTCTGTGCTTCGGGATATGTACCTGCGAGAGATAATTCAAAAAAATCCGAAATGCAAAAATTACTTTAAAATTCAAATTACAATATGTAAATTTTATATTTAATTCTATATTACCTGCTCGAGCCAATTCCAAGCCACTATTTGCAATGGTTTGAACATCATCTATTGCTGATACCTGCAAATTTTTAAAAAAACATAATTTAGCAATATTGAAAAATACTAATAAAAATGAATAAATTTGAAAATACTTACTAATTCTCTCTCATCTATACCCCGAGGCACATATCCTCTTTGCAACTCAACCGGGGATGTGGTCGCATGGAGTATCCATCTTCTAGTTATCCTCCAATACCAAGTGTAGTAATCTGATTCCTGGGGAGTTGGCTCGATTTGCTCAACAATACAAAAATGTCTATCATTCCATCTGTGTATATAATTTTGATGCTCAGCTGCCCAGTCCTTTTGTTGGCCTCCTTTCTTCGCCTTCCTCTCTATTTTTTCAACAAATTGCGGAACATGTTGTGCAAGACCAAATTGTCGAAGCACGCGGTCCGGTACATGCATTTCTACTATCTCGAAACATATTAGAGGAACTCTGGCTCTCCATATAACTGGGTATTCTGTGCATATCGGGGGTAGATGATCGAGAAATGGGGTGTAGGGCTCCCATTCCATCTACAGAGTATTACATATAATTGTTGCATATCATTAAAACGAAAGTTGATATATAGAAGAAAAAACTCGTTTTTATAGAAATGATACCTGAAAAATCTTCATGCGGTCAAGCTCATTTCGGTAGAAATCTAACTGTCTCGCCGGGGTCTCGTCAAAACATTTTTGGACATTCCATCTGTGTTAGTTTCAAAATTCAGTACCAAATGAATAACTACAATTATATTTACTACGTTAAAAAATATAATACCTGCATCCTAGTGGAATTTGTCCGTCTAATTGTAAATTCACGCATAGTCTCGGCTTCAAATGCAGCCTCTCCCATGCCCATACTTGCAGTAAGCTGAGACACCCTTTGAGGTCACTATTTTTCATGAATGCAACCTTAGACATCTCTCTATATAGGTACGCTAAAACCGCACTACCCCACGATAACGCACCACACGTGTCCAAGTCCCCGATAAGTGGTAACCACCTAGCATTTTCACAACATTTCAAGTTATCAAAATAAGCTAAATCAACAGACATAATTGTAAATACTGATAAAATGATACCTGGCATGCACTTTATCTTTACTCGAATCTGGAAATAATATTGAACCGATCATGTGCATAATGTATGCACGTGCATGTTGCTCAATCAATATTTGCGGCGCATCAAAAGGCAACGGTACCGAGAATGTATTTTTTAGCCACTTCAATTTAATATTTCCTCCAGGCATTGACTCTGGAGCTACACCTAACAACTCCTCACACTTGTCCGGCCAAAAATGTCTATCACTGCCGGTAACGCACGGACCATCTATGCGGAGACCAAGTATCATAGCTACATCCTGTAGCGTAATAGTAGACTCTCCCATTCGGAAGTGGAAAGTGTTGGATTCCGGCCTCTACCTATCTATCAAAGCGGTGAGTAGGGGACAATCGAGTCTCATCCAACGAAGCTTTGAACATGTCAAGAAGCCGGCCCGTCCTACAGCTGCTATTATGCGCTCATCCTCTAGATGCCAACGGCTATGGCTGAGGCTATGATCAACCATAACAATATCCGGGCCTCTCTGTAAAGCAAATGAATATATAAGAATACAATATTATAAGAATGTAATATTGAAATTATAAGAAACTTAGTTACCTCTGTAAAGGATATAACATGTGAACAGTGTCGAGGCTGGTCATATAGGACCTCATCACTAGTCGGTCCAGGCTCCATGGTGTATATACATGCACATACAATTATAACATATCAATAACCGATCCACGACTAATTATATTGTCTACATTAAAATAAATCACAATTTAAATATGTCAATTATTACCAATTAATTGCTATCTATTGAGTCTAGCTGGACAACGAGGTCGAGTATGTCCCGGTTGTTTGCAAAGACTACATTTTTTATGCTTGACAATTCCTTCTCGTCCTTGATCCATGGTTCCCCTAATTCGTACAGATCGTGGTCGACCTGCTTGTCTCTTGTATTGAGGTGGAATTAACCGTGGTCCAGTATATTCGGGCCAATACCGACTATCATCGGGTAGATGAAAACTCTCACTGTATGTCTTTCGGTAATGAATTGTTGAATACCATGGTGAACAATACCGATTATATGGAATTCTCGCACCACCCGGCTGATTGGAGGAAGCCGCAAGAACATGTGCACAAGGTATTTTTTGAAGTTGTGGTATGTTACATGTGCAAGTGCAATCAACATCAAACAGTTTAACGGTGTAGATACCGTCATAATCCTGTACCTGCCATTCATTGTCATTGAATACAGTAATTTGACATAATCTTGCCGCCTCAATTCTTCTATGCAAAATAGACTCATTCTTTGGTGTGTAACGCGTTGTCCAGTCTACACCGTCCTCACGCCTTTTGTTGAAGTATGAGTTTAGCCTATAGAACGTTCTTGCAACCAATGATTGTATTGGCATAGCTCGTGCTCCTTTAAGAACGCCGTTAAAGCTCTCGGAGCAATTAGTTGTCATCATGCAAAACCGCACACCCTCATCCTTACATAATGCCCATCGATGCTCGAATTGAGGCTTCAAGTTATGTTCAATCCAATTATGTGCATCTAATGACAAAGACTTGATCTTCTCTCTACAATGTTCATACACTAATGTATCGGTTGCACACCCAGCTTGCCACAAAAGATTTTGCAAATTAATCTCACCGTGTTTTTTCTTAAAATTATCTCTTATATGCCTCAAACAATATCGATGGTGATGTGGTGCACCAAAACCCTCATGTAATGCCCTTATAATTCCTTTCATCCTATCTGAGATAAAAGTAATTAATCTGGGCGCACGGACACTAGGAATCCACTTGTATATAAGTTCAAAGAACCACTTCCAACTAGAAGTATCCTCTACCTCCACAACTGCAAATGCTAGAGGAAATAAACCGCCATTTGCATCTACACCGGTCGCCACAAGAAGCACGCCTTTGTACTTGCCATATAGATGCGTACCGTCAATGCTCAATAACGGACGACAAAAAGTGAAGCCCTTAATAGCCGGACCAAATGCCCAAAATACTCGAGTGAACCTCTCCATCCCCGGTGCAATCTCTTCAGACAATATTTCATATTCAGTACCCGGATTATTTCGTTTGATAGCTTCAAGATACTGTGGAAGTAATTCATAAGATTTTTCCCAATCTCCAAATATTTTCGACAACGCTTTCCTCCTTGCATCATATGCCTTATATTTAGATATCTTAATGCCCCGCATATCATATACCCTTTGAAATATCTGACTTGCATTTAGATCAAGTTCAGCTCTAACTTCAGGCATAATTAGCTTACATATATAAGAGGAAGATGCAGAATAATGATCGACGTCCACCGACGGATTGCAACATGTATGAAGCCCGCAATATCTAGATATTACAAATTGCCCATTTGTTGATTTCCTCACAGCGGCATTTAGCAACCAAGGACATTTCCTGTTTCTCTCATCTTGCTCATTTGCATGCTCTACTTCATTCTTCTCGTTGAAATAACATTTTACATAGTAGTTGGTTGTATTAGTTTTTACAGGCTTGAATTTGACCCGATTTTTGATAGACCATTCTCGAGATGTCATAAAACCACTCGACTCATTGTCTAAGTCCATCATCCGAGAAAACTCTCCTTGTGGTCGTGAAGCTTGGGCAAATTCTTGAATCGGATACTTCTCAATGAACAACTCAACTGACACTTGCTTCTCCACTAATTGTTTCATGTCATTCAATTCCTCATCGTCGGTAATCGCCACAGCAATAGTTCTACTCTCATTTATCGGACAATTGAAGAACACTTTAATTGCATACCATGCTTTATTAATTTTCGTAACTCTGTGTATTTCATTCATCATTCCATCAAAATTTAATGACTTGGATAGCATAAACATTTTCCTAGAACCTCCCTCATACATCGGCATACTATTCAATCCGACGCCGAGGCTCCCATTGAAGAAGCAAATAATGGGTATAGAGTTTGCCATCGAAGCTGAAAATCAACAGTCCATCATATGTAAATAATCTATTATAACTGTAAATATTAATCTTAATTTAAAGTCAAATTTAAAACCCTAATCTCAACTACAAAGCAAATAATTGCTAAATTCCCTAATCCCAAATCACATTATTCATGTCTAAACCCTAATTATGGTTAAACCCTAATATCAAATCACATTATTCATGTCTAAACCCTAATTATGGTTAAACCCTAATATCAAATCACATTATTCATGTCTAAACCCTAATTATGGTTAAACCCTAATATCAAATCACATTATTCATGTCTAAACCCTAATCACATTATTCATGACTAAACCCTAATTCCCTAATATCAACTAAATACATTCCCAAATTTCAACCTTAATCCCAAATCTCAATTAAATCCATTCCCAAATCTCAACCCTAATTCCCAAATCTCAACCCAAATCGATTCCCAAATCTGAAATTTCATGGCTAATCAACAAAAAAAAAACCACATTTACCTTGGTCGCCGGCGGCGGTCGGAGCGAACTTGGTCGGCGGCGACGGTGGTCGGAGGGTCCTTGGTCGGCGGCGGCAGTGGTCGGAGAGTCCTTGGGCGGTGGTCGGTGTCGGCGTCGATGGGTTTGAGGAGTGGGTGAAAGAGGGGGGGGGGGTGAAAGGGTCTGGGTGAAAATGGGTGAAAAGGAGTGCGGTGAAAGTCACGGGTGGGTTTTTTACCCCCCGATCGCACGGGACTGCTAGTCCCGTGTTATTCGAAACTGCCACGAAATACACGGGACTAGCAGTCCCGTGTATGTCGTAAAAATCTTTCAACAGCAAAACCGACCCTTTTCAGAAGAAAAGGGTCGGTTTTGCTGATTAAAGTTCAAATAGGTCGATTTTGCTATTTAATTCTCGAATTTGGTTGATTTTGAAAATTTGTCCTTAATATTATATAATAATATATTACATAATATTATTAATATATGTTATTATAATATTATATAATATTATAATAAATACGTTATACTATAATTACTATTATATAATATTATTAATATATGTTATTAAATTATGTTATTAAATTATGTTATTAATATATATTATATTTTATATATCATATCATATATTTATAATATAATTAACATGTATTAGTTAAGTAATACAAAAATATTTTAAAATTATCCCAATTGTCTTCAAAGTGGAACAACATTGTTCCAATATGAAGGATGAGATAAATTTGGGGTAATTATGAGGAAGGGGTGGAGGGGATCTTTATATAGTTGGTGTAATTTAGGGGACAGTGGAGTATTTGTCTCCCAATTACGCCAATAAACCAATAACATCACAAAGTTGACTCCAATTCTAATTACCCTAATAAATAACACAAAAAAATGATGTTTTAAAAATTATGTCATTATCCTCCAAATTACACAAATGAATAATCCCAAAAGGGGGTGTGGTCGCAATTATCCCAAATGAAGAGGAACTCTCCCCACCCCTGGGGAGCTCATCACTGTAGTTAGGGCTCGACCTCGTTGCTGCCACATGTTGCTCATGGAGCACCTACGAGTTTCTCCTCTCGTTGATCTCTCGACCAAAAAGGCTCTTCCTTCGATCTTATCTGGGGAATGTCACCCAGCGGTGTAATTTTCAACATAGAACCCTGTGTATGATTTTTTTTGTCACATTAGCCCCTTAAACTCTTTTATATTTCTCCTGTCCGTTCACAGAGACGATGATGATTTGCCCGCCTCAGCCAGATTTAGGTTTTGGAAAACCCTATCTGCTTTCGTTATATTTTTTTCGGAAAGCAGTTTTTTTGTTAGCCAGGGACCTGGAGGTTGGACGCATTTTCCCCTCTTTTTTTTGGAAACTATATGGTATTTAAGGGCTATTTACTCCAATGGCGAGGCAGTTTTGCAGCCATTTTGGTATTTTCTGCAGATAGAAAGAGAGAGAGAGAGAGAGGTGAAATTAGGGTTAGGAGTTGTTTGGCCTTAACTCCTTTCCTTATATCTGATTAATGGGCTGATCTGAGTCTCTAGTAAGTTGCTGATAGAAGAAATCTGTGCATTGATGGCTGTTTCGTGAAATTCACACTGTTTTCCTTTGGAGGGTTTTATGTGCAGAGGAGGGGAAACTGTATGGTGGTCTTTCTGCAATTTAGCTAATTTCTGATTAACATTTTTCCTTTTCTTCTGCAAGAAATGATCTCTTTGGACAGGAAAAAGGTTGGTGATTTGCCTACTTCAGTGGTGAGGCAATCTTGGATGGTTTGAGCAACCATTTTGCAACCATTTGTATGTAATGCTACTAGGGGTGTGCAACGGTCGGTTCGGTTCGGTTCGGTTTTTACCAAAATTTGAACAACCGAACCGAACCGTCTATAATTCAAAACCGAACCGAACTGTTGCAAGTCGGTTCGGTGCGGTTCGGTTCAGTTTGTTCGGTTCTAATTTCATCAAACTTCTTATCAAACAACAAACTGTGTTAAAGAAAAAAAAAGATATCAACAAAATAGGAGATTATGAAGCATTAAACACTGATATAATGATATTGTTTTCAACCCATAATGATTCAAAAAATGAGTTTAGGGTTTGAGTCTTTGACTTTTTGGGACGGGTCGGGTAGGGTTTAAGATCAGAATGGGTAGTATTGCACTATATTCGGTCGGTTCGGATCGGTTCGGGTTAAAAAGTTTTCAAACCGACTCGAATCGCCCTACTCATAAAACCGATTTCTTCGGGTCGGTTCAGGTCGGTTCGGTCGGTTTTTTCGGTTTGGACCGAACCATGCTCAGCCCTAAATGCTACTACTGCAGCAACAACAATAAGTAAAACAACAACAGCTTGTTAAACGTCATCTCCTCCATTGAGGGGCTGTTTGGTATGCTTGCGAGCGCAGAATGCAACAATTGTTGGATGCGGAAAATGGTTAGTGGTGTTTGGTTCATTGCAAAAATAAGTTGTAGCAAATGTTGCATGCAACATTTGTTGTCGGGAATTCAGTTCCAAATTCGTTGTTGGGATATCTTGAATTATATTATAGGAAACGTTACGCTGTAACTCAAATACCGAGGCTAGAAGTAATTTGGTTCGGAATCTTCAATCATGACTGCATGTGGTAGTCATTTAGTATTTGAGTTGGTGTAGACATCTTAATTAAGTATTACTCCTAGCGGAACAAGGTCTTTGATTCCAATTGGATTGAGTTCCAATTAGAACCTTGTTGGAGTTCTCGTAGCCAAGAGTTGATAGGAGTTGGTTTGTCACAAATTGGACTCACATTAGAATTGTACTTCTATTTGGTTTCCTATTGGCCAAGGCTTCCAGCAAATACTTGATGCTTGTTGTAGGGGAAGCTGCATCATCAATTTGTAGCACCAATACAGAGAGAAACAAAGTTTCTTTGGAATCCCGTCCTCGTGAATTCTCTCTCTTTTTGTTCCTTTTATTTAGAGAGATTGTACGTGAACCTTGGGGTGTTATTTCGGATTGAGTGATTGAGAGATTCCAAGTATTCCTCATAATTTAGCAAAGCTATTCTCCTCCTTTGCCCGTGGACATAGGCTACAAGCCGAACCACATATATCTTTGTGTTCGTGTGTTCTCAAGATTTTTCATGCTTTCGTGTGATTGGTGTTAGTTTATCCTGGGGATTTGTCATAACATGAAATGTATTTCCAATGCAAATTTAGTATTTAGTTGAAAAACAGATAGTGCGAATGTTACATAATTTTGCCATATAAGGAAACTTGGGCGTAGATGTTTTCCTGATTAGATTTAAAAAGTTTGTTTGAATGAGGGGGAATTATTTTTGTTTTTTAATTCCTTTTTGAAGCCTGAAGCTTTTCGTTCCACCAAATTAGTCATAGTATTTGTTGCAAGTTTATTCTACAAAATGCAAGTATATTTTTCCATTCGTTAGCAGTGTTGAGAATTCAAATTTGTAAGAAATTGCAGTACATCCATTTGCATTCATGGAGGTATTATGAAAGAATTTGTACTTCTAGTGCAAATCTATTTCTAGTGCAAAAAATTCTACTCGTTAGCAATGCTTAGAATTCGAATTCTTAAGAAACTGCAGTACATCCGTTTGCATTAAATGGAGGTGCTAGAAAGTATATGTATTTGGTCCTATGGTTTGTTAATTTATTATTATGACATCTCTTGTTGCTTCTGAGCGTTAGCAAATCCTTTATGTGGAACATAGAATTCCGTTGAGAATACTTATTAGCATCAAGGTTTTAAATAGCGGTTATCGGGGATTTATCAGACGGCCAAAATCCTTATCGGATAGCGGAAATCGGGGATATATCGGGGATAAGTAGTATTTATCGGAGTGATATACTGGATGATGTATATATATAATATGATAACTAAAAAATATAATCTAACCATACTTAATGAAATATAAACATACCAAAATGTAAATCATCATGTTTAGAATCACTAACCAATTATAGAAAGCAAAACTTGCATCTTGACTGCACGATGAAACTATTCGATTGCATAGCCTTACTTATCGGCCGATAATCCCGATAAAAAAACCTTACTTATCGGCCGATAAGTACCGATAACGCCGATAACTCCCCGATAACTTGCCAAAAACGATAACCGATTAAAAATCCAAGTTATCCTATCGGAGAGCTCCCAAATCCGATAACTCGGCCGATAATATCGATTATCGGCCGATATTTAAAACAGTGATTAGCATATATGTATAGAGAGCTCTCTATATGAAATGCCCATTTCATCTTCTCATTCATGCATACCAAACACAACTTCTTTTTGGAAGCTAGAAAACCCATGGCCACTTTTCATTCATTCCCACATTTGTTGAGAATGAGCATTCTCAATGAGATACAAGGCAATGGGGTCCCCACTTAAGTGGGAATAAAAAATTAAAATAAATTCCAAATATGCCCTGATTGCTTATAAATTATCCAATGTCAAAAATAAAAAGTTTGTCATTCCCTCTTGACTCTCTAGTCGCATCCAAGGTTGAGAACGGAAATGTGCATTCCATTCTCACGTTTATTCTATCCCAGTCCTCACTTGACTCGATCCGCGTACCAAACTAGGTGTAAATTCTTTCTTGTCTCTCCTTTCCCTTCGTAGAGACGATGATGGTTTGGCCTTTTCGGCGAAATCAGAAAACACATGGATTGTTAGATATTTGTCCCTTAAATTTTTAATATTTTAAATTAGACCCTCAAATAATTGAGATTGTTTCTCAGACTATTTCCAATGCAAGGCAGCTTTGCAGCCATA